CCCACACACACAGACACCCAAAGCCACAGGTGCCCAAGAGACAGCTCCTGGGAGGACCTCCAGCCTCTGCACACATAAAACTCTAACATAAAACTTTTACCAATCTAAACATAAACACAAACAACCTAAAATGAGTATGGTTGCTCATGCCTGTAAAGCCATCACACAAAAACTGATGAATTGGGACTAGTCCAATTCAGCATTTCTTAACAAAAGCATCACTAAAATAGTTTTGAAAACTCACACAAAGAGGGGTGCTGGAGAGATGGCTCAGAGGTTAAGAGCACTGTCTGCTCTTCCAGAGGTCCTGAGTTCAATTCCCAGCACCCACATGGTGGCTCTCAACCATCTACAATGAGATCTGGCGCCCTCTTCTAGTGTGCAGACTTAAATGCAAGCAGAACACTGTATACATAATAAATCCTTAAAACACACACACACACAAAGAGATTTTGCTCACAAAATATACACCTGCCAAATAATCTGGACCTACATGTTTGTAAGTAAACTCCTACAACTCAGCAATTAAAAAACAAGTAACCAGGAAGCAGCAGCAGGAAGACCTCTGTAAGTATCAGGCCAGCCTAGTCTCCAGAGCGAGTTCTAGGCTAGCCAGGGCTAGCTAGCTACAGAGAGAGACAAAAAACTCCAAACAGAAGCTGAGAGACAGTTCAGTGGTTAAGAGCATGTACTAGTCTTGCAGAGAGCCTGAGCTCAGCTTCTAGCACCCACAAGGGACGGCTCACAGACACATGTAACTCCAGAACCACAGATGGCACCTTTGGGCTCCTTGGGCACATGCACTCATATATACATAGTCCCCCCTCAGACAGACAGACAGACAGACATGTGCGCGCACACACACACACACACACACACACAAACACACACACACACACACACACATATGCACACGCACACATGCACGATATTTAAAAGTGCCCCCCCAGAAAAAACCCTGACTAGGCTGCGGTGGCGCACGCCTGCAATCCCAGCACTCAGGAGGCAGAGACAGGAGGATCTCTGTGAGTTTGAGGCCAACCTGGTCTACAGAGCGAGTTCTAGGACAGCCAGGGCTGTTACACAGAGACACCCTGTCTTGGGGTGGAAGGAGGCACATAATTGCCAATTTTATAAAAATAGGCAAAAGCTTTGAACAGACTTCTCCCAAAAAGTACATATTAGGCTGGCAAGATGTCTCAGCAACAAAGACCTGAGTGTGACCCCTGAGACCTCACTGAGTCCTGCAAGTTATGTCCCACCCCCTGAGATACATACAAGTGCATACATGTGCGCGCGCACGCGCACACACACACACACACACACACACACGCACGCACGCACGCACGCACGCACGCGCACGCATAATAAAAATGTATTTTTAAAGAAAAGAAGGCATATTGATGGCAAAAAGCAAACAATAAGATGCTCACTGGGAAATGGATGTTAAACTCGTAATGAGATTTCACCCAGCAGAACGGTTCCTTAGAAGGACAACAGCGCCAATTATTGACAGACAGCTGTGCAGACCCTGTGGCTCGCAAGTTTCCACGGGGGACTGCCAATGGTACAGCTCCTTGGGAAGACAATCGGCAGTCTCCTATAGTTAAACACATGCATGCCCTGTGACCCCAGTATCCCACGGCTTGCAATTCACACAAGAGAAGTGAAAACATGAGCACGGATGAATGCTACAAGCGAGTTTGCAGCATAGTCTAGTGTCTGCCAGCGATTACACGGAGACACAAGCGTGGCCTGCTCAAACTGACTCTGTGGCAGTCAGGAGTACACTACTCACACATGCAACATGGGCTAGAAGAAAAATCACCCTCATGGGAGCAGCTGCCCTTCAGGATAAAGCCAAACTCAAGGGCTGAAAGGGCTGGTGACAGCCCGAGGCACCCCAGCCTGAGAACAGGCCTGCCTCAACCCCCAGAGCTTATCTGTGGCTAAAAGCTGCCAGGAAGCAGGGAGCACAGTCTACTGCTGTGTAGCAGAAGGCAAACAATTCGTTTCCCATACAAGTCTAGACAGCAGAGCTCAGGCCCATCAGGCTGGTGGCAGCTCCACAGAAAGCCTGACTGGAGGTCA